TGCAGTCTTTTCCAAGACTACTGATCTGTGGGATTTTCTTTGACCAGTTTTAGTACATTTTAAAACTTTAATTTCATAGGTTTTGAGTCCAAATTACTGCAAGAGATCCCAGTTATGACAAGATTTACTATGAAAAAGGAGCCAGATTTTTATTTTTGTCTTCTGGGGAAGTTTATGGTAGAGTGAGATAAATATGCAAAATAGTTAAGGTTGTTTATCCTGCATCACTAAGAAGACATTCTTGACATCATTTGTATATAACTGAGCAGAGGAGCTGCTCAATCAGTGCTGACAGAAATCCAACCCAGATCACCCAGCCTCAGGGCATACAGACCTCACTTCAGTATGATAAAATCTGCTTCTGTTGGGATAAAACCTGAACTCACACAGATCCTCTTGTCACAAAACAAATTTTGGTGCATAAAGGCTCCTCCTCCAGTTACATTCCTTCCAGGGACGCAGTCATAATTTCAGGACACTTTACCTCATCCTCACATATTTTTGTAGTATCTTGGGGCTTGCAAGGGGGAATGAATATTACAAAACAATCTGGTGCCATTCTTCTAAAATGTAAAGTGTAATGACTTTAATATTGGCCCCAAATCTGCAAGTCTTAGACCTAGAGAGCAGAGATCCTGGAAGCTGCCAGCAGGTAACTCAATCAACACAGTATCTTTCAATCAATACAGAAATTATTCTTTTTTAACTCTACAGTATAGTGATGTCTGCCTGAAAGTCACCCCTCCGACAGTAGGAGGAGGGAGATATGCTGAATGTAAAGAGATTGGAAAGGCATTTCTCTGAAAAAACTGGAAGTACCAGACTTGCAGTTGACTAGGGAAGAAGCTAATAAGGGGTCTTGGCTGCATTGATCAACGGTGCTGAAATCCACTTTGCCCTTTACCTATGTAGCAGGCTCCTAGGTTTGGTAGTATATATGCTGCTCTTTGCATGAGTATTGATTACAGAGGCTGTTCCACGTATAAAAAGGTTGATGTGCACTTTAAAAGCTGCTCTAATCCCATTCAGCACGACCTAAGCTCATGAATGTGCATTTTCTTTCCTCTGATTCTTATTTCATGCACCCATTAGCAACAGCCACTCATTGCAGCGAAAGTATCTGTGATTTGCAGTGCAGGATGAGTTCTTTGCTGGTAGATATGCTAGTAGCAAACTGGCTGAGGAACTTAGTAAGTCTTATACTGGAGTCAAGGAAAGCTTAAGCATGACTCACTTAGGAATGCTTTGTCTTCCCCTAATTGCATAATTACCTTAGAGAGCTCGCTGGCCATTTGGCATAGAGGTCATGCCTGTTTCCTCTGAGCACAGGAATAACTCCTCCTAGCTTCTCCTAACAGGATAAAAAGGGGATGTGAGGAAGACATATGGCCATGGCCCCGCTTTCCCTCTATATAATCCAGGAGCAGTATTTGTGCACAACTACAAAGTCCTTCATTCTCTGAAATGAGGATGGGAAAGTTCACCATTATATAACATAAATCAGCACTTTCACCTTTGCATGGAGATAGTATCTGTATTGAAAGTGGTAGTGTGATATTCCAGTGTCTTTGGTACTGGTACTTGTAACATCTGTGTTCTAATAAGTGGAATTAAAAAAGAATAATGAGCGTCCCACAAGAACAGCAATCTTTCCCACTATACTCATATGCTATAGAGTTAGCCTGACTGCCAAGCAAAAAAACCAGAGATCGCCCCAACACCTTGTTCTTACAAGCAATAAATCAAAAAAAAAAAGATATGGCCAAAATAAATGCTATCAACAACTACAATCATGCTAAGCAGATGGCAAGCAAAGGGAAGGGACCTTAATATTACATGAGAAAAATGGAAAATGAATTTGCTAGTTACACTAGCAGAATTAAAAGGAAGTTTTGCTGGAGAATTCTCCTGGACCTCTAGGAAATTCAACAGTGCAGTTTTCAGGGCTCACCCCATGTATAGAACTGGTTAAGTAAGTCTGCAAGATGCAAAAAAAGGAGAAAGGTATAATTGAACAATATGGATCGCTGAGGCAAAGATGTTTAAGTACTGCTATCTTTAGTCCCCTGGATGAACTCTTGTTCTGGAGAATGGCTGGAATTTGTGGTCCCTCTTCTTAACCTTTTTATTGATGTTATCCAACATTACATTTGGAAGCTAGATTTCTCCTTTGCAGATTGGTGATGGCATCACTACGCAGTCAAACTTCCATCCAGCTTCCCCTTTCATTACTCCTATGAATTCTCTATCCTTCCTTGCACACTGATGCACCTTCCATTCAAACTAACTAAAGCAAATTTTTTCCCGTTCCCCTTACAGCCCAGCAGCTAATACCCCCTATCTTATAATGGGGTATATACCCACTGGGCTTATGAACGAAAATACTTGCATCTGCTATACTTCCTGCTGATCCTGATGCTGCCAGTGTGTTTTAGACATGCACACAGCCTGCCTGGTTGGCCCTTCAAGAGTTACAGAGGGATGTGAATACAAGTGGTCTGATGCATCTGCTGGTGTAAGCTTTGGTGTCCATGTGCTTCTTAGCTTTGTGCTGGGTTGCGAAGAGTGTTTAAGATTACTCAGTTGTTTTGCAGCTCATGATGGTTACTTAAGTCTTTCCTTCTTTTTTATCAGTCTCTTTTTCAATGGTGGGAAGCAGTGCAGTTAAATGCTGAATAAGGCTGCATTAGGTTCCCCTTTCTGTGATAAACCTCTACTTAGTAGGTTCCCAAAGTGAAAGTTTTTGCAAGAGAAAACAGCTGGAGGACACATCCAAGCCTGGCTCTGGTGAGTGGAGCTGTTCTTCTGATATAAATGGTGCATTACTCTAAAGTAAGAGAAATGCTAGGAGGAGAGGAAGGAAAATTAAGTATCTTGATTCCTAAGTTGAGAGAGAACTTGTCAGCAGTTTATCAAATCAAAGGCTAATATCCAAGACTCATTCTGTTCTCAGAGATATATATCTCAAGTATGGACTTCATTAGAGTACATCTAACTTAACCTAGCTGACTTCAGAGGAAAGTCAGGCTATGGGTCCCAACTGCTTTTGTTATCAAACAAGAAACAGGCGACACCTCTGTTCTTTTCATGATTTTTTGAATAATTTTCCTGGAGAGCTAAGGAGTTAGCATGCCATAGTGCTGGTAGCTGCCCTTGGGATCAAGGAACACCATACAGAATCTATAATAAAACTTCTTGCATTAGGATGGCGGCAGAGGAAACTATACAGAAAATGCAGTCCAGGAAAGAGTTCTTAGAAGATGAAGTAGGGATTAAGCCAGAGCCTATTTTACCATTTGCTAAAACACTCAGTGCATTTGCCTTCGTGGGTTCTGCATTCCAGAGGACTGCATGCTGTGTTAATAAAATCCGTCTCTTGAACAGGCTTTGGAAACTCACACGGCCATTGACTGCCCATATGGCAGAATTGGGCTGCTGCTATTAGACAGCTGCAGGGAGTTGAGGACAAGAAAGGGGAGACAGCACCAAAATCTTATGGATATATAGATGTATAGAGAGATATAGGGCTTTTCCTCATGGCAGGAGCTTCCAAAACACGTTCCCCATCAAAATGCCAGGATCCTCTTTTGTTTTTTCTTTCAGGAACTGTAATTTGCACTTCTGCTTTTTGCAGGTGATACATATGTGATTTATGTATGTGATTTAAACCCTCATACACCCTGACCTTAAGCTGCAGGAACATTTTAAAACAATTAGCACACCTACAAGAAAAACAGCAAATCACCACATTTCTGTTGCTCACAAACTTAAAGAGAGATTGAGTTTAGTGCTCTTCCTAGCGCAAGAAATTGCATACTCCCCAGTAACCCAATGCCAAACCACTGCTCTCAGTTTTGAGTAGCAAATGCCATTCTCATTGCATCTAAAAACTCAGACTCTGTTTCTTTTCTTAATACGAAATTGCGTATTTTGGTACTGCTCTCAAACAAGTTTAACAGAACAAAGGAGTTATCTTTATGAGACAGCCAGGGAAACACACAAAGAACAGGAAAATGTAGCTAATCTAAATAATGACATTGAAAACAAAACAGCTATTGGGCTATAAATAAACAATATGAAGTAAATTTCATCATTTATATTAAGAGAAGACACAGACTTAATTCCTGGGTATAATGCCATCTGCTATTTCCTCAGATTTTAGTTCTTATTTTTTCAGTCAAGCCACAAAGTAGCATTTCCTACTTTCTTCAACTTTTTACAGTATGAACTTTTATACCACTTTGGAGAAAATTGCAAAACTCAGACATGCATGGAGAGAAAGATCGGATTTTCTAAAACAATAATATTGCCCAGATTGTTAGTTTTTGAACTGCACAAATACAGGCATTCTTACAGGGCAGGGGGGTAAACCTATACATGACTGCATTAATTAAGACAATACTTCGTTTCCTGCAACACAAAAGAATTTTCTTAATTTAGACTCAGTTTTAAATTATGCAGTCTCCCACTGTGTGCATGTGGGTGTGCAAAGCAGTAACTGCAATTTCACCAAAAAAAAAAAAAAAAAAAAAAAATAAAAAAAGCAGAGACTGGTCCTGACCTGGTTGGTGAATGGAGAAGGAATTAAATAACCCTCTAAACCAAAGCCAGAATCAACTTTCTGAGCGCCAAGCTCAGCCAGTCCAGCCATCTCACTTTCAGTAACACAGTGCTAAACGACCTGAGCAGAAGCCTGATTCACGTGACTTTTTTTCCTGGGGATTGTCTTGTTGAGAGTATCCTGGGCAGGAAACTGGTGTGATCTGTTGACTCACAAGATTTAAAATAAGCACTCGCGTTTCCCCCCCCCCAGCCCTGACCCGCAGTCCTGGCCTGAATCACTTCCCCGGTGGAGGCGAGAAATGAGCGCCAGCGAAGCGCTCGTGAAGTGGCCGAGTGGTCGGCAAATGCTCTCAGGCTGTCATACAGCCAGCAAACCTCACGTCCAGCACTGGCACAACATCAGGACACGGCACCGGTCCCCGTCCCTCAGGCTTTACCTGCTGGCGGGTGAATGGCTGGGAGGGATATCCTGTAGAAAACTCTGCTCCATGGCCGGTATCCTGGCCGGGCTGTGGGGATGGTAGGCTGTGAGGACTACGCTGCCCGAGTCCTTCATCTCCATGGTCATAGGCACATGTCGGCCCGGCTGCTGGTGACAGAAGCGACAGGGCTGTGCCGACGGGCCCCGACGGAAGGGCGAGCGAACCTGTCAGGACCACCAGCCTGACTCTGCAGCAGCCGCTCGCCACTGTCGGCTGTCAGGAGAGCTGTGGAACTGAGACACGGCTCCTCTCCCTGTCAGGAAAGCTGAATTAGCATATATTCAAAAACACCGCCCACAAAACAACCCACGGGGAAGTTACTACGTTCCTAGGAAACTGGAAACCTGAGATAATCCTGTACGGCACTGAGTGACTGCTCAGAAAACTTCTTGTTTGCGTTTTTTTTTCTTGTTTCCTTTTAACAGCAGATTTCTCAATACTCATCCTGCTTCTGAAACAATCTTGTCTAAGTGAAACTATTTGTTGGTTATGCAGCCAGATGAGTGGAGAGCACTACTCAAACACAAAACATAGTTTGGTAGAGCAGGGAGTTTCAGAGGAGAGATTCAGAAACCGAGTGGGCTCTACTAGGTTTAAATTATCAAGGAGCAGAAGCTGTGATTTCCTATGTGCCGGATCATTTCTGTAGCAGGGAACCAAACTTGTTCTCTTCTGAAGCCAGATTAAGCGTTTTAGCTAGATTCTCCCTGATATGGCTGTGTACATTACTAGAAAGGCACTGGGAAATGAGTGAATTATTTTTATAATTGTCTGTGTTCATCTGGAACAATCCCGTAAATAAATACACACCGAGATGCTTGATATCTTTTCATGATTTACCTTGATCTTTGTACACTAATATGGTAGTTTGAATTCAAAAATAAATACTCAAGCAAAAATATTGGGGTCCAATTCTGGAGTAACACCCAGAGAAAACTCTGTAAACAAAGTGAGAAAGTTCACACATCACTTTAGTTTCCTTTCCCGCTTCTTCAGTGTTTGTTTTTTTTTTTTCAAAGAAATGTTTCTGATAAATGCCAATTCCTGAAAACTTTTGTTCTGCCTATGAAATCATGGGAGGGATGTCCCTAATTTACCTCTGTGGGCCACAGCTCTCTGAGCACCTTGTGAACACGTGTGAAACACCAGCCTCCATTCACCTTTGTCACAGCTGCCAGCAGCATCCCAAGCGTAGGTACTCTACAAAATGTTTGTTGGGCTCCTCTTTCACATCCCTCTTTTGTGAGGGTGCTCTCTCTAGTGCTGCTATACAGTTGCCTAAATTACACTGTCAGTCTCTCCAGCTGGTGAAGTAGCTCAAGTTTTAAAAATTATTCATCTCACCTTCACCTTCTCCCTGAACACGGTATCCTGCCTGGAGGGACATGATGGTTTCGGTCAAATATGTTGCTGCGACTCATGTAGGCAGTGCCCAAGTTAATTTTAAATTAGCCAGTATAGGACACTGATAACAGTACACTTGGCAGCACTTCTTGCCAGACTCACCCAGGAAGCATAAATATTTGAACATAAAGAGCCTCTAAGCCTGCTCTTGCTATGCTGTTAAGATATCCTGGATTAAATATTTTAAAGCCAGGTTGCCTAGGATAAAATCATGGTTGCTTCCATGGCAGCATGGAGGCCCTCTGGAAGCCTCCGTGCAGCCATGTACATATGTTAGAAATGAAGGAGAAGGCTCTGAGCTACCTCTGGAGGCATCATTGCCCATGGCATCAAGACTATATACTATGGTGCTACCAGTGAGGACTGGGATGAATGGAATAACCAGTGCTCTGTGATTACTGGGGTATTCAGGAAAGGCATAGGGCCTGAAAAACTAGGATCAAGGCCATGATGGATCTCATATCCCAACTCTGTGGAGCACTGACTGAATGCCAGGTTGATGCTTGGCTTCTGGATCACCAGGGATGCTGCTGCCAGTGCCATTCTTTTCCCTTCCTACCTTGGCTTTATATTCTCCTTCCTGCACCAGAAGGTAAGTAACCTTCTTATAAATAGAAATTTACATTTGGCACAACTGCAAATAGATATTTTGAAAATAGATCAACCAAAATGCATATATAAAAATGAGAGAAAAAAATCTCTATATATGTTATAAAATAACTGCTGACACACTTTAAGGACATTGTTCGCAGTTTATTTCAAGGAATTAAACTCTCAACTCTCATCGTGGAAGGCACCAAACACTATCAGAAAGGAAGTGGGTGTCCTTCAGATCAGGTGCTGACAAAATATTGGCTGCAACTCCAGGAAAGTCTCTTTTCTCCCCTTCCTAGCCTCATAACACTAGTCTTTCTCCAGTACCATCAGACAAAAAAATGATGGTTATGTATTTTAAGCTATGTGTAGATAAAACCCATAGTAGAAATGCAATATATTTTTAGTATTATTTTTATTTCCTCTCTTTGCATGATAAAATACCTCAAACACCAAAGTGACTTACAAAGAATACAGATACCATCTCAATAGAAAAATGCATATAAAGAAAGGAGGCCCACACTTGTTAAATGGGATTTTCTCTCTAAGAAAAATAAACATGGAAGATTTTACTTGGAGATTTATAAAGTGCTGGTGTACAAACTGGAGGCTTGTATGGAAATGGCAGACTATTTGGCCCAAATACAAATACATATTTTGAAAACTAATCAGCCAAAAGACATATATCAAACCTAGAGCTAAAAATATTTATATGCTTAATGGCTCTTGGGATTAGGCATCTCCATATTATTGAAACCCAAAAATTATGCTAAATCAACTAGAGATAAACATCAGCCATCAAACAAAGTTTTAACTGGGCTAGTGATACAGCCATAAGAAAAAGGTAAAAGACAACATAGGCTGGATTCCTCCTTCAGTTCTATCTGTGCAATTCTGTTAGATAATAGAGAATTTATTTTTCTTGTTTATAAAGAAACAAGTAGGGAAATATTTTAATCCAACATGTTTGTGTTTCTACAAGATTTCCTTGAACACTAGATTGTGAAGTACTCAGGACTGTGACAGTTCTAACTGTCTTTTCGGATAGTTGAGAGCTTCCCAGACCTTTCAAGTACTATGGAAATGCCATTTCAGTGAGAAATAAAATATTGTGAGGGTGCTTGTGGTGGCAAGCAGTAAAGTGAAGGTGCAGCAAGAGAAGAGTCTGTAGGATGTCTGCGGCCAATAGTCCCGCAAGCAGCTGCCTTGGGTTTGGTAGGCAAGGGTTTTGTGCTTTCAAATTTTATGTTGTGCTTGTGTCAAGGGGAGTGCTTTTCACTTTCACACATTTGGCAAAATAATTAATAAAAATAATTATATATGGATCAGTGGGCCCAAACTTTGAGAACTAAGAGTGAGAAACCTTTATTAACCAATTACTTCAGAAATTTAAGTTAGTGGCTATACAGTTGTATGATCAAGCCTTCAGCTCCTCTGTCATAGCAGTATATCTGCATATATATCTGTGAGAGCAATATACAAAAGTATAAACACACAGAAAGTCACTAGTTAAAGCTTACTGAAATGAAAAAGTAGCTGTCATTGTTATTAATAACATTTATGTATTTACATAGAAATAATTAATAATAATTTGGACAGCATGATGATGGGCAACATTTAATATCTTTTGCTTGGAAAGGGATTTATAATGGTTTCACATGGATTTGAAGCACCTATTCTAGTTAGGTCTAAGGGGAGCTCTCACTGAGAGGAATGAGATTGTCAGCCAGGGGTTCTTGTCCTGGGATGGTGGGGGCATACACCATTATATTATAAGAGTAGACCCACAGAGCCCTGGAAAGTGCAAAATTCTCCTTTCAACTACAAATCACACAAAAAAATCTCTGGTTATTGAATTTCATTTCTTGTTTCCAGCTTAAATTATCCAGGACAAAGTTGGACAAAATTAGCAAAACTTTGAAATTGACTTTGGACCAGTGTATTGTGAACTTGGGTTAGATTAAGTTTTATAAGGAAGCTGTTTAAAACACAGCATTTTTCCCTGATGAAATCAAAGGAAATAGAATGGAGCAATACACAGAAAAATGTCATCCTAGTACTGTGTGGCAGTAAATCTGTACTGTGTCTAAATGTCCTTATCGCTCTTGCAATAACTTTTGTATCTGTCTGTGTGAAAGAAACCAAATCCAGAACCACTGTACTTTTCCATTATTTTGGGGGGGGGGAGGGGGAGGGGTATCCCTTACTTCTCTCTAATTTTTCATTTGGATGGAGAGATGCTCTAAGGATGGGGACCAGAGAGCCCCACCATACCACAGAGTTGATGTGGGCTAAAAGCAGCTGGACAGCCTGAAAACATGAGTGCCACAGCATTGCATAAAAGTCAAGGTCAGTGCTGTTTGCATCTTCTACTGCTCAGTACCAATTCCCATGAAAAAAGTGTCTGGGAAGGGGCTGACTCTTGTGTCAGGAGAATTTTTACTGTGGCTTGAGGTCTATTTCCTTTCAGATCATTTTATGCATCAGGAAGGATAGTGTCTAATGCTTGGGTTTGCTTCTGAACATATATTCCTGTGATGCCAGAAGAATTACAGTGTATTTTTTTTCCGCTGTAGAAGTGAGGCGTTTGTGTGCCTCAGTGTGGGCAGCTGGGAATGTGAGGGAATGGGTGAGATTCATCAGTAGTACCAAAACATATCCACTGCTTTTATAACACTGAAAAATTAATAAGCCAAAACATAAACAAAATCGGAGGAAAATCTTTGTTATTCTGCTTTGTCTTTTCAAACTGAGAATAAAAATGACACCGAGAAAACTGTTTCTTGTCCTTTACAAACAGGTTAGTTAACAAGCCTGTTTAAACAAAGAGAATGGAAATCAGGTATTGTGGTAATTTGTGGTTTTGCAAAGGTTTTTAATTAAAGTATGAAACAAAACATTCATCTTTGTTAAATATAGCCTCACATTTTTCAGTCCCAGGCTCAATTTAAATATACATCACATTTTGGTGAACTTTAACATGGTGATTTTTTTATTGAGTGATTTACTACTGATTCTTTTATCCTAAAAAAGATACAAAAGCATGGAAAAAGAATTCTTTGGGCAACTTTGTGTAGCTTCTTGCTTAGCAATGACTGTCATTTACTTTCTAGGAGTTCAAAAGTTGGTTCTTCTTAGCCCAGATGAAACTACCCATATATTATTCCCATGTTAATTATGTACAGAAAAGGAAACTTCCTTAATCTGTCTGCCACAATAGGGCTTTCTGGAG